CACTGGCTTTTCGAGAGTCATCGCTGTGGCTGTGGAACAAAGGGCAAGAGCAGCGTTACGTCTCCTGGTTATAACTGGGATCCTTTCAGGCCAGACCATGCCAGTCCATGCTAGCTCCAGATATCTACCTGCTTGCACTTCTTCTGCATCACTTATCACCTTTGCCTTTACCTTTGCCTTGCACTTTGCACAATTTTCCTTTTTCTTGGGCCTTGTTTTCGTTTGCCTTTAACTGACAATTTATCTCTGGCTGTTTGCCCAAGACAGAGGAGGGTAGGGGGTAAGGGGAAAGGGTGTTACCATCGCTGTTTTCATTTTGTTTGATGGAAGGCGGAGACAGTCCCAGACAGGTTCTGTTCCCGGCCAGGCCCGTACTAAAACAAATGGTTAGTCCTCTGCCTGCCGACTGCCTGCCTGACTGCCTGCTAGGGCTGTCTGATTTTTCATTTTTCATTACTCTGTGCCGACTCTTCGGGCTCTGTAAGTATTATCCGGTGTCTTCCCTCCGCGGTGTGTCTGTCTTCTTTTTGCTTTCTGTTTCTGTTTTCCTTTCATTAGTTGTCAGAGAGTGCAATCCTCCCCTGGAGTGAGGAGGGGCCGACTGGGACCGCGTCATCCTGCCGAGCAAAGTGTTTTTAATTCTCTCATTAGTAACTGAAATTACTCCACACATACCCAAGGTTCTGTATGATGGATGATGCTTGATTGTGGATATAATACTCGTAGTAGCATGAATGTGCTGCAGTCTCCATGGATATGTGTGTTTCCGGTTCTGTTTTGGTTCGCTTTTATTGGGCTCTGATGACATGCGGGTTCCTTACAGCATCACTCAGCTCGGGGGCTCACTCATTAGTTTGATTGCACTGAAACTTTCTTCATAATTTGTCAATATTTAATGTTTGGATTTTGGTAGCAAACAAAACAGAACAGCCAGAGGCTTAGGTACAGTCTGCATAGAAAGATCTTCGTAGGCCAACCCTTGCCTGGCCTGGCTCTTGTTTGGGAGTGATAAATGAGTCTGGTTTGTAATTAGATGCCACTACAATGTTTTTTGATTCATAAATACCATCCCAAATATCTCAAATATCTGAATGAGGGATGTTCTGTTTCAGTGACTTTCTGCTCCACTATATGATCCATTTGAACCCTACTGAGTGTGAACCAGATCTGGAGTCAATTCGTAGAGCATTCATATCGTGTTTAATTATAAACAGACTCGGAAATGCTTCAACTTACAAGAAAATGCCATCTGTGCACTCTCCCTCTCTCTCTTGATGTCTGCGATCTCTCTTCTGTCGCATAACTAATTAGCAATTAAATATTTGCCACTCTCTGACACGCCCCAATTACGCGCATGCGCGACCTCTTCTCTATACAAACACCAAACCAAGGAAGAGAGAGAAATATAGTTTAACGGTAAAACGGTTTACAGGCGACAAATTCTGGAATGCCTCCACTCTTGTCTTACCTGACTTTCATATCATTTCATGCTCCAGCAGACAAACGGGCGTCCAACAAAGCAAATACTCGTCCATACAATAATGCCCATAAAAGAAAAAAATTAAAAAAAAAATTCAACACTTTACTATGCTTAGAAATTTGTCATTTTGAGTGGTTCCTCCCCCGATGAACGCCTGAGCATTTGGCATTGCAGCTGCGTTTTGGGCTTAGGCTTTGGCTGAGACCTAGACCAAGACCAGATCGGGGACAGGCCCAGTCACGCTGCTGCACTTAAAGTTTCGCTGCGAGCCACAGAAACAGCAACAGAAACTGGGATAGAGGGATAGAGAAAGAACCTGTTTTGGGCCTATTCGAGTACACATGACATGACGGGCCATTGGCAGGCACAGTAAACGCTCGTAAATTACAAACGCAACAAATTGTATTTGTTTTTCAAAGGGGAAAATGATATTTTTACGACTTGTACTTTGTTGTGTTCTATGGGAATTGTGTTTGTATTTGTATTTGCATTACTTGTGCGGCTTTAATGGTGCCGACTTAACATCAAATATCTCTTAATAGATACAAAGATAGGATAAACCAAAATAAGCTTTTTCTAGAAGGTTTTGTAAACATAAGCCTGAAGTTAGGTCCTTAATTGCGCTTCTGGTGGGTCAAAGGTGAATGTATGCTCTTTCGTTTGATCCACTCGTAATGGGGAAAATTATAGAGATCGTAGTTCCATTTCTTTCTCGTATTCGTTACACTCGCATATTGCTTGGCTTTGGCTTGTGTCCAATTGGGGCGACAAATGGTTTCGATTCATGCTTCTGCTGCTGCTTCGTAGTGAATGGAGAATGCTCCATTGGACTAATTAAACAAAGCCCTCGACTGCGTCACTCTCTGGAGTCTTGGAGTAATTGGATGTTTGTAGTGTTCGGATACATATTCGTGTTTGCCATGCCATGCATGTGTGTGTTTTTCTAATATTGAAATGAGTTTGTTGTGTTGTTTCCTCCAATGCCCGCATCATAATGCAGCCCCCTGCCAGCAGAAGAGCATCGTTCGTTCAATTTGCTGCAATTGGTAGGAGGCCGCCTTAACCCATTGCCATGAAGGGTGGGAGGGAGACATGCTGTCAATCCAATTTTAATGAAATGTGTTACTTCGATTCCCAGTCGCAATTAATTTGAAATGTTTCAGTCGAGTAGGCAAGAGCACGTACATACATAACATACCTCCCTCCCGCTCAATCCCTTTTCCCGCATTTGGCATGCAATTCGCATGAAACATATTTCCAGGGCATTCCAGAGTTTTGGTCAATGCTCTCTCACTCTGTCCTGGAGCAGCTCTAGCTCTCCTGCTGCTATGCGTCCCCTCTTTCTGTGTAGTTTGTGTCAATTGTTTAAGCCTGAATTGTTTTGGCAAATGTTTGAAGAGCAGCCACAGACACATATACTCGAGCACTCGTACATCTCTCAATGTGGTTGAAAAGGGGAAAGGAGAGTGAGGTATAGCACTGAGAGATCCCTGGGCTCATTGCACTCGTTGCGCTGCTCTCCATCTCCCTCTCTGCATCTCTCGCAATGCGCTGAGCCAACTTCCGGTTATGAGCCGAACCAACACTGAGGCTGAGCGCACCTTTCGCACTGCAATTCCTATTCCCCATTCGTATTCCCGTTTACGCTTCAGTTGCTTGTTGCAATGCAGGCGCCTCACCCTTCATCCCCCTCTTTTACCATCCTTTGGTGCACTTATGACTAAGTGCAGGCGCGCTGTGCGTTTTTTTTTTCAAAATTAGTTGCCAGCACAAACGAGCAGAAGTCGAAGCAAAAGCCAAAGCCGAGGCACAGGCAGTGGCAGTGGCAGAAGCACGCCGGCAACAAAACGGTTTACTTGTTAGAGGTCATTAACGTTGCCATTGTTAGTGGAACGAATGGTGGGAGTGGGGAGAAAAGGTCACCCACACACAAAGTGCTAACGGATGTGGCCCGGGCCCTGGCTCATTAAAATCTGATTTTTGACTCTATTTTCACTGCACAAACACAAAAGGTGGCGACCCGATCCGCTTACAGCCGCTTCATTAATATATGCACTAATCGTGTAGTGTTCTCACTTGAACGCGCGCACTGAAAGAGTTAAATGAATGTTTAAACAAATACATAAATATACACTTTAAAACTGATCGCGTCTCTTTCATCTTTTATCCATTCCAGATAGTGCCACCTATGTGGGAAATGTACTGCGAATTAAGTCGGTGAAGAAGGAGGACCGCGGCACCTACTACTGTGTGGCCGACAACGGTGTCAGCAAGGGAGATCGTCGTAATATTAACGTGGAGGTGGAGTTTTCTCCAGTGATAACCGTGCCACGACCCCGTCTCGGCCAGGCGCTGCAGTATGACATGGATCTGGAGTGCCACATTGAGGCCTACCCACCGCCGGCCATTGTCTGGACCAAGGATGACATTCAGCTGGCCAACAACCAGCACTACAGCATCTCGCACTTTGCCACCGCCGACGAGTACACCGACTCGACACTGCGTGTGATCACCATTGAGAAGCGCCAGTACGGAGATTATGTATGCAAGGCCACCAATCGCTTTGGCGAGGCCGAGGCTCGTGTGAATCTGTTTGAGACCATCATCCCCGTGTGCCCGCCGGCATGTGGCCAGGCGTACTATGCCGGAGCCGAGGATGTGGCTGCCACCTCCTTTGCCCTGGTGGGCATTCTGCTGGCGCTGCTATTCACCAGATAAGCCAATGGCCCCACCCACTGACTCTGACTACAAACGCTCCAAGTCCAAATCATCAATCAGCCCTCGAATACATAAATATATACTATATATAAATATATATATAGTAACCTATATCATATAAAAATTCAACCAACAGACGTCGCAAACCCCAGACTCCTGAAACTGTTCACTTTCGATTTTCTTTTCTCTGCTCCTGACTTTGTTTTCGCCCTGTCCAATCTTCACACGTCCAATATTATGTCTTAAGTTAAGTACGCTAAGTGAAAGGGCCCACGATAACTAGATCTGAACAGTCGATATAGTTTAATAGAGACTAAAAGCCGAACCGAACCGATCCGAACCCAGCCGCCCCGCCCCATTCGTCCGCTTTGTTTTCTGATCTGGCTCTGTATATGTTTTAAATATGTATTTTATTCTAAGCAAAAGACAATGACGACGACACACACACATCACAGCATTCCAATTACACATCTCAGAATCTTTGAGAGTATTTTATGTTTATTTAATAAATATTAAAGTATTTTCGTTCTGAAAACCATGACAAACCCAAAAAAAAACCCATACATTTTCTCTGGAATCGAGGCAAAATTCATATCTGAATGAAGGCAACATCGTTGTGTACATCATTAGCTCCTAAGCGCAATTTGAAATTCTTTTGAATGCCGACAAATTGTATGCCCAAGTTTTAATGAGGGTGTAATAAAGAAACAAATATATTTCGACTTTGTACTAAAATATAAAAACCAAAACAAAACAAACAAAAAATTAATAAAAATATATAAAAGATAAAACAAGTATTTGGATTTGATTTGTATTTATATTTTCCCTTTCAGGGATATTCTCTTAAACCTAATATGAGCCAGAATTCTAACAATTGCCTCAATTGATTGCTTATTTGGCACCACCCATGGTGGCCATGCGATAATATAGATTGAACTCCGACTCGTAGTCGGAAAAGGTGCCATTGCTGAAGAGCTTTGTGGGCGGCACGTAGCGTTGCAGCGGATTTTCGAGGATGAAGTGATAGATGCGCTCAGCCTTCTGCAACATAAGATTGGACTTCACGCCGATGGCCATTAGGCTGTCCAGCTTTTGTTCGATTTCCTCGTGCTGGCGACGTGACTTCAGCTTCAAATCGTGCGGATCCACTGGTGGAGTAGAAGGAGAGATGGCCGGGTCAGACACGGAAATGAGACATAATGACTACTCGGAAGGGTCGAGCATGCGAGCTTACCAATTAACGGCTGCAAACTCAATTTCAAGTCAGACGTGTGTGCGGCAATTGCTGACGCCCACAAAATGCGTTTACGGACTTCCTGCAAGGCCCCGAAGGGTGTCAGCAGATGGCCCGGCACCAGTTGAACGGTGGAGGCCAGCTCCTGGGCTTCAACGATGAGCGGATTGGCCGACAGCAAATGGGCGCTACCAGATTGAAAAATATTGAATATTGAATGGGTTCAGTTTGAGTTGCATTGACATACCAGGATTGGGGTATGACGCTTAGTTTTATCAGCGGCATTTCGGCGAACATGTTTAGTTCGAGCAGGTGGCAGGGCACGAATTTGCCGGCTCCAGATGTGTGAGTTGATGCCGAGCCTGCTGCACCCGGCACCAGAGTGCAGTTGGCAATGCTGGTGTTGCAATCAAATTCAAGCTTGGTGCTAGAGAAAACAGTGTCGTTGGCCATGTAGAAGCTCTCCGAGCCCAGCAACGACATGTTGTTAACCTTAAGCTTGGTGCTGATCAACTGAGATTTGGCATTCTGGTTCTGGGTGGCTGCATGCATGTCATCCAGCAAGTTCTTCATCATGTTCCTCGAGTAGAGGATCTTCTCCTTTATCTGCGAGAGCTGGCCCATATCTTCCTGTATGCGATGGATGGAGGTGCTAATGTCGTTGTATACTTTCTTCACGGAGCCCAAAAGTAGGTCGTGATCTTCCAGCTGCTTGCCGCCCGCCTTCAACTCGAGGCGAAGTTGCTCAATTTGCTCGACGAGGTATTCGTTGCGAGCCATATTGAAAGTGCGCATGGTAAACTGCACAAGAAAGTCGCTAATGAGCTCGTCGGTGCTGTCCTCGTCGGCACTGCTAAGCGGATTGAAGCTGTTCACCTTATTTTGCAGTTCGTCAACAAATGGAGTGTACTCCTTGCAGAAACGGGCTTCCAGCTTGACCAACTCCTTATCAGCAGAAAGGTACTTGGCCGCCAGTCCCAGCATTTCCGCCTTAGTCTTCAGTAGTTTGACCTCGTAGTTGGTCAGCAGGGGCTTGGCTTTTGGGGTGCTTCCCTTATTAGCCGTGCTTAGCTGCGTTATGTACTGCAACTGTTCCTCCTTGATCTTCATTATTACATTGAAAAGTGGTGCATTCGGAGTTTTAGCAAAGATGCTGCGCATCTCGTTCCAAAGCCGCTCCTTGGCCTTTGTCAATACGTGGGCATTATTGGTCTCGTCATTGCAGACCCCGTAAAATGCATCTAGCTCCTTGAGGGCCTGTTCCACCACATTGAAGGCTTGCTTTTCGCTGGCATTCTCTGAGCTTAACTTCACTGGTGTCGTGGCCAAGATTTGAGCCTTGTTCCTCAGCTCCAGCTCATAAGATTTGTTCATAGACTCCAGTTTTAACTCCAGCATATTGCATTTTGACTCCAGAAGATCTCTCTTGTTCTTGGCCCTGATAGTTTGTATGTCTGTGAATAAGGTAGGGATATTAGAAGATGTTATTTTGCATTCTACGGTTTGCTCACTTTTTGATTTGATGCTGCCGGCAAGTTTTTCATACTCATGTCTGGCCTCCTTCAGAGTTTGCTCTGCCGTCTCCTTCTTCTTCGTCAGCTCCTTCATTTGTTGCAGCATTTGAAGCTGTGGTGGCAGAAAGCTGCGCGATGCTAGGGGCACTACCTTGCCCTTATGACGCGCCACCTGGGCGATGAGAAGATTTGCCCTTACCTCCTCCACCTCCTCACGCGGTCGAATACGTCTCTGCAGTTGATCAAAAAGCTGGTGGGAGCCCGACTTGAAGATGCTACGATATAAGAATCATAATTCGCCCAGCGTTTATCATATCTCTTCGAACTTACTTTCTGAGATCTTCATCAGCTGGAATGACACTGGGCGGACAGCCAAGACTTGTGGCCCACGCTTTAAATGCTTCAATTTTCTCAGAATGTGACATTTTAAAAAGATTTTGATCTATTTGCAAGATTTTAATGTGAATGCGCGCCCATAAACAACTAGGAACGGTGTGACCGCGGAGCTATGGATAAAACATACCGTCTGACCCAACAAAATATACCAAAATATACCGATTTTGATATTCTGTTTAGTGAAATTAAGTAAATTTAAAATAAGCGCAAATGCCATGTTAAAATATTCTGAAAAGTATATAATGAACACAAATGGCCACCTGGGGACCCGGTGTGATCATCAGAAATATATTTGATCGATAAGTCTGCCATCGATATCGATGAGTAAGTGGACAATTCAAACAAGTTTTCTATTTACAATTAAATTAACTATTTGCACGACAGGTGTCTAAGCCCCCAAGCCACATTGGGTAACATAAGTCTTGGCTAAATCACAATCCGCATTCTGCGTCCATCGATGTTCGGGGCAATTCTTAAAGTACTCCATGTATGTGCAACCGAGAACAATCGCCGAGAAGGGACTGCATTTGTGTTGTGGCTGTGTCTGCTGAATGGCTGCCAGACGACGTTGGGATTGTGGCTCACATTTTGTGAACGCTGCCGTCATCGCCTCCACATAGGCGGTGTCATTGGAAAACTTTGCCGAGAGATTACTGCGGATGTTGTCCAGGTGCAGCTTCTGTGGATCTTTAATGTACTGTGACGTTGTAAGGATGCACTCTGCCAGACACTAGTTTGGAAGATTCACTTTATATCTCTGTAGTTGAGTATTTGGGGGGCTGTTGTTACTCACTGTGGAACTTTCCAGCGAAGGCATGCCCGTCTTTACCCCTTCCCCTATAATCCGCTGCACGCATTTCTCTGCGATCTGATCGCGACCGCCGTCCCTGCAGCAGAGTGATGGATCCTATGAACAGGAAAGACTTCAACACCGGCCCTGTTATGGATCGTTTTCAATAGACACACTTACCACAAGTCGCGGTGGCCTTTGACAGTCGATTGTCTGGGCAAGCACACCTGGAGTGCTCAAACCCGCAGCGAGCACAACAGAAACTATCAAAATGTGACTTGATGACATAGCTGTGGTTAACCGAATGATTGAATTGGAGACAAACGGTCCATTTTATATGTCCCACGCAGCTTGGCATCCTCTAATGGAACGTAGAGACCGATCCACTTATTTGTGCCAGCCACGCATGACCAGAAAACCCAGCAAAGGTTCATTGTTGCAATCGAATGCTGTTTGGGGCCAATGTCACATATAATTCCATATTTTGGGCCATTGACACTGCACTAAGGTTAAAGTTTAGTTGAATAAAAATATAGAGCACTGATCGGGCAATTAAACAGCAATTGCCAAATATTTTTATGGGAAATCCACAAATCTCTGGGCCCAGCCATGACAGCGAAAATTATGGTGTAGATGCCTGCATAAAATAAATATATATTACATAACCATTCTCTAATAGTATTGTTTATTGTTTATTCTTTTATGGGTAGTTTTAAATTTACCCAATAGTTCGCTCAAATGGCGCTTTTGTTCGCAGCTAGTTGGCAGTACTCTTATGCGAACCACTCGCTCCAGAGTGTTAACAGTGTATTTACCTTTTTAATCTTATTGTGTAATCAATCCAATAAATATAAGTTATGAAAACTACCCAATCGTGTGTACAATTGATTGATAATTCAAACAAAATTATTGGATTAGCGCTGAGAGAACTAGCTTGCAGGTAATCTCAATCAGAATATCAAAATCGAGGAAAATTATTTAGAAGTGTCGGTATATTTGCGGCAAATTTTGAAAAAGAGAAGGTATATTTCGGTATTTTTTTAAGATCATGCGGTAGAACGAACCAATGGACGCGGGCACCAAAATGTAAGAATTAAATATAATAAACTTGATATTAGCAGCTAAACTAATTAATGCAATGTTTTCACATTCATAGATTAGTTGTGGGCGACGTGCGGGGACGCTTCAAACAGTTATTCCAGCGCGTGGAACAGGTCAACAAAAAGGCGGGACCCTTTGAGATACTCTGTTGCGTCGGAGACTTTTTTGGCGACGATAAACAAAACGAGGAGCTGATTGCCTACAAAAATGGGTTCAAGCATAGTAAGTAGATAGTAAAGTTTACTGACAATTAAAATATATTTGTATATACATTCTCAACCTGCAGTCACAGTGCCCACTTACATACTCGGCCCGAACCAGAAGGAGCATGGAAAGCATTTTGAGAATCTGTCTGATGGCGAAATCTGCACAAACCTCACGTACCTCGGTAAACGAGGGGTGTACACGCTTACCAGTGGCGTTAAAATAGCATATCTAAGTGGTGTGGAGTCAGCTGGTGCTGCAGATTTAGCTAAATCCAACCACGAGTTCACTAAATCGGACGTATTTGCTGTCAGAAATTCGTGTCTGGTGTCGAAGAACTGCTCCACCGAGTACAGAGGAGTGGACGTACTTCTCACTTCGCAATGGCCATATGGGATGCAGGAGAATGAAAATGTACGTGCCCATTGGGGAGTCTGTGGATCTGCATGAGTTAAAAATCAATTTTATATTCCAGGCAACAGCATCCAAATTGATAGCGTTCCTCTGTCGGGAGGTCAAGCCACGCTATCATTTTTGCGCCATAAACGGAAACTACTTTGAGTGTCCGCCCTTTCGTATGCCTAAGGACGAGACAACACAGTTTGAGCTCTGTACCCGATTTATATCTTTGGCTGATGTTGGAAACGTTGAAAAGGCAAAATATATATACGCGCTCACCCTGAAACCGGTCGATAAATCTCGATTGCTCGACCTGGTTCAGAAGACAACCAATGAAATTCCATGCCCCTTTGCTGGCCTTGATTTGGCCGGAGCCGTCGACAAGAATGACACAGTAGGTAGCCCCCGTCTTGCGTTAAACAATTTCACTATAAACCAAAACATTGCAGTCGGAAAACCGCCAGTACTTTTATGATATGGAAACCAAGAAATCAAAAGGGCAACGCGGCTATGGAAAGAAACGGCGTATGCAGGAACTGGACCAGGGTACGCAAATATATAGTAGCTCGTATTATCGTAAATCACATGTAACACAATTCCAGAGAAATGCTGGTTCTGCTTATCATCACCCGATGTGGAAAAGCATCTCATTATTACTGTCGGAGAACGTTTCTATCTGGCCCTGGCCAAGGGTCCGATTAACAGACACCATGTAATGATATTGTCCACAAAGCATCTGCCCTGTGCAGCCCAACTAAGCACTGAGGATTGGGAGGAGCTGGATAAATTTAAAAACGCCCTGCGAAAGTACTTCAAAACCATCGGTCAAGTAGTTTGCTTCACCGAACGCCATTACAAGTCGTTCCACCTACAGATCAATGTTCTCGGCATTGAGGAAGGTTATGCATGGAAGATCAAGCATAGCTTTGAGGTATGCAAGTCTATTCAGATCCCTAAACGAATTCTTCTAATTATTTGTTCAAATTATTTAGGACAAAGCGGAGGAATTTAATCTTCAATTTGAAACACTGCCGCCCCTAGATTCTCCGAAAATGTTGCCAGAAATTGGACCCTATTTTCTGACCGAACTTCCTGACGACAGCACTCTAATTACGCGGCAGATGAATCATTTCCCCCTGCATTTCGCTAGGTGCGTTAAAAATTAGTGTCTATGGCAATTCTTGTTTAATTCCTCTACTTTGCAGGGACGTTTTCTGTTCCGAGAATCTTCTTAATTGTGACGAAAAAGTCAACTGGAAGGAATGCCTTCTCGATAAAGACGAAGAGACGACTTATGTGTCAGATTTCCGCAAGGGCTTTGCCCCATTTGACTTCACAATAACCTAAATGTGTATATTACAAAAATGTAGGTATAAGAAAGTTATAATTTTGGTTGTAGTTGCTTAAACCATCCAGACGCATCCCTTGTGTAAATTCTAAAGCTATAATTTAAGTATAAACATTCTCGTCTCAAATATGATGGATCTGAATTGCTTAGGAGTCTCGCTGGTAGATTTTGTTGAGGATTTGCAGGAAAGTTTGGTGGGGAACGCCACGCGATGTTTGTTGTATGTGTGTTTTAATCATGTTGTACGACTCCTCCTCGAATGTGGCAAAAGTAGTGGGTAAGCCGAGTTCCTTGTAAAGTTCCTTAATCCGCTCCACCTTGACTGGATCTGCATTGAAAAGTTACAATTATTACCCACCGATTGCACTGTCTAAACAGTTCCGATCGTCTCACCTTCGTTTCCATAGCAATCGACCATGATTTTCTTTTGCTCGGCATTGGCTCTCTGCATGGCCACCACGGCTAGCCAGGAGCATTTGTTGTCCTGTATGTCGGTGCCAATTTTGCCAGTCACCTCCGGATTGCCGAAACAGTCAAGAAAATCGTCTTGCACTTGGAAAAAGTGACCCATTTCCAAGAGAATGGTCTTTGATTGGCGGAAGGCTTCAGCGTCCTTATATCTACAAGATGGAATGAGTTAGTACATAGAAGATCTGAACAATCACCTTATAAACTACGCACCCAGCCAAGTGTAAAGCAACAGCAAAGGGCAGATAGAATGAATAGTAAGCGGTTTTGTTGTCCACAATCGATTTGTAGCTGTCCATAGTGAACTCGGAAACACTTCGATTAGAGTTGAGCTGATCTAATGACTGGCCACAAGTTGTAATGTAGGTAATCTCATGGAAGAGCTCCATGAGTGCTACATAGCAGTCCAGGTGGCTGAAATGCATCTTCAGTATGGCATACATGGCATTCTCAATCATTAGAGCATCATTGATGGCCGTCAAGCCAACGTTCTCAACTTTGTGCCAGCACGGCTGGCCGCGTCGTGTTGTGCTGTTGTCCATCACGTCGTCAGAGATTATGAAGAAGCTCTGGAGCTGCAGGGATAATGCGAATCTGTTTAGGTTGGGCATCCTTAGCAAATACGATCAATACTTACCATCTCCACACACCAACCCAGATACTGGGCTAGCTTAATATTCTCTGGAGTCAAATCTTCGGCTGCCACCAGATTCTTGTAGGTGAGCACCGTGAGTATTCCGCGATTCTTTTTGCCCCGCGGCACATTGTATTGCAGCACCTTAGCAAACCATTTGGCGGCATCATTGCAATTATAGGACTTCGTCACGGTAGTGATGTCACGCACAAGATCTGAAAGAAACGCATTAGAATAAACATTAGAACTGTTATGCTAATTGGACGAAACAAAGGCGGAGCTCACCGGGAAACACAGCCATAAAGTCGCGACTTTCATCTTTTGACACTGTGACTCGAGCCGCAATTGGAACAGAGTGATTTTGAAGCGTTGATAATGTTCTGGGGAGAAAACAAAACTCAAACAATAGAATGCAATACACACACACACACACACACACGTGTGAATACATAAGTGGAGTGGATCTCTGGCCTACGTGACTCCGTTAGTACTCGCACGAACAACTTTCTCTCTCATCCACCACGCCCACCTACACCTCCACGGGTTCAGCAAGTGCACGAATGCCCTCCAAAGGCAATGTAAACAAACAAACAGACAAAGTTCAAGTGCAGAAACCGGTAGATTACCTGCTGGTCTTTTTCAGCTTCTGCTCGTTGACAAGTTCCGTGGACAGGCCGCCAATCGTTTCCATGGATTTGATAATAGGCTCCGAGTTGACTTCGTCGCTGGTGGATATAAGACGTTGAAGACGCAGCGGATTTGAGAACATCCGCTGCTGGGGAAGAAGCCGACGAGCTAATTTAAACATTTTTATTCACAATATTCTCAATAGAAATCTCTCTGGTTAACGACAGCTTCCTTCCCTACCCTTGCTCAAAATTTAACTTCTAACGTTACCAACTACTGGACATGAACCATCAGTGATGCTCGTCAGTGCTGCCATTTTAGCTACTTTTGTGCAAGATCTAGCATTTTTTTCTGATATGCGCTTTGATATAAGCGAATAGTTAAAGGTGGGATGCCTCATGTGCTTCAAATTAGTTTTTATTGGATATTTGTTTAAATGTAATTATAGTATATTAATTTTAGTTTATTTACCTTAGGCTAAAGTAGTTTTTGAATCTAGCTTGTAGTACTCTAAGTTTGCGAGCACTGTTCAGTGCTGCAAAGCGCTCGGGTACAGTTTGGGAAATGGCCTGACGCACACGGAAAGCGAAGAATCGCAAATAAAATAATAAAGGTGCGAAAATGATGGACGAACAGTTAATTGATGAAGTGGCCCATCACGGGGTAATATACAACAGGCAGAAGTACTACCTAAACGGCAGCACCAACGGTGGAAAGTATGAGACCAAGGATGACGCTTGGCAGCTGATTGCCATAAAGCTGCGAACGGATGGTGAGAGGCAGACTCGACTTGTTACAGTCTTTTATATTTTATGGTAAATACAAATCTTGTTCCTTGCAGTGGACACGTGCAAGAAGCGCTGGAAGTATCTACGAGAGCGTTACGTATCGCAGCGAAAGCAGGGCGATACTCCAGTCTACGAGCACCTGTCTCGACCCTACCTGGAAAAGATGAAGTTCCTGGACCAACACATTCAGCCACGGAAATCCTATCGCAATGTTCCGAGCTTCCTGACATCTCCACAGTCGGCGAACAGCTCCAGCTACAATGAATACATGGTGGATAGATCAAACAGTTCCACCAAAAACATGTCCCAGTTCAACAGCTCGGGTCAAAACCATAACTACCATCAGCCTGATCAGCAACACGCCATGAATGCACTGAGCACCGTTGCCTCCTCAGCACTGGAAAGCGTTAATCCGGTGAAGATCGAGGCTGATCAGGCATTCAGAGAGTTTGCTGCGGCTGTGGCTTCCCAGCAGCTCCAGCAAATATCCCAGTCGCAGATGGAGCAGCAGGCGGCTGCCGTGGCCGCTGTCATGGCCGACTCCTCGCAGGGCTACCAGGAGCAGTTTCGAGACAGTTCAGTGGCAATACCTGGCCCCCAAAACGGTGGAGGTAGCCTTCCCTCAACGTCTTCTTCGATGAAATCGCCGCTGTCCTCGCCGTTGCAGGGTGTTGGTACTGGCGCCCAGCAGCAGCAGCAGCAATCTCAGCAACAGTCGCCGGCATCTGCACAGCAGCTTCCGGTTGTACATTCCTCATCTAGTGCTGCGGGCAGCTCCAACATGCAGATGCACGGCCATGTCTACAATCCCAAGGGAAATGACGATTTGGACTCGTCAACATCCAGCAACTTCCACTTAAAGAAACCCCGCGTGCAGCTCAACGGCAGTGCTCACAGCCAAATGTCTAGCAATGGCGGAAATGGCCCCCACTTTATCATTGACTCCGATGAGGATTCCGATGACAACAGTCATGACCTGATGGAGCCCCAGACCATGATGCATCACGGCAACCATTACAGCAACTCTATGTGCATGCAACGCACCAATGGGCATGGCAACGGCAATGCAAATGGCAATGGGAATCAGAGTAATTCCAACACTGGACACAACAGCAACAATGGCCAACAGCAGCAGCAGCAGCAACAACATCAACAGCACCAGAACATGTTTCCATCGAATACGGACTTTCTGTTGCAGCTTTATCAACAGTTGCCCCATCAGGGCAACTCATCACATCCCTCGAACTTTGGCAAGTTTCAGGCCCCACAAAGTCTTCCGGGCGTGCAGCGACTGTCAGAGCACCTTCTGGGCGAGCTGGTCACAACCGAGCTGCTTAAGATGAACAAGGAGCGCAAGAAGAGTGCTCAGAAGAGAATCCTGGAGATACTATTCTTCGACGATTAGTCAGACCAGCCGCATATCTGTATTTGTAAATAGTCTAATCTATAATTTATATTATCAGGTAAGAGTGTTGGAGCTCATAATATTGTTATGGGCTGGTCTGCATCCCACCAAGAAGGCATTTGCAAAGCTGTCCACTCGAACACTTTGCATCTGTACTAGTCATGACCAGCTCCAGGAGGCCCCATGTCCTTCCCATGGGTATTATATAGGATCTATCCCGTATCTGCATTAATTTATGTTCGTATATCTAAGTATAAGAGGAAGGATTTAATTTATTCTTAAATGCTTATTATTATTAAACTGTGTACGAAATATTCATATTTCCAATTTTAATTGTAAGATTTGAGATCTGCATTTACCATAGAGTTGATTGTCCACTTCCTGATGCTCTCTATCTCTGCCTGCGGGTTCGCGCTCTGGCATCTGTCCCGCTGTTTGATTTATTTGCCGGCCTCTGACCGATCCTGATTCTGCTTCTGCTCTTTTGATTGCGGGAAAACCTCATGCTGGGCCGGCCAGAGATGATATCTTGTAGCCCATTGGCTACTGTCCGCAACTGCAGCTTGGCCCGCTCGTTAACCCAAAGCGAGAAGTTGCAAAGCCGCTTAATGTTGCCACTGGCTAGCATCCTGATGTTCGGGCCCTGATTAATTGCTGCTTCTGCATTCCTTTGGCGGAGTAAATTCGAGAAAATATTGCACAAACCGACTCGTATATGGATAGGTTTTGGTTTTTATTGCATTTAATATGTATATCTTAACTTGTATAGCGAATAATTGTTTATTTGTGTTGCGGTTGTCTGTTGTTAGCCTTAGATAAACTATGTTTAATAGCATACGTTCATAAGAAGAATGTTTGATATTGTATTGTAGAGCTCTTGCGCAGTTCTTAGGCTAGTTGCTGGATCCAAGAATGTTCGAGGATCCCCGACGCATTTGGCTAGCGTTTATAATTTGAGTGTTCATATTTTTGATTGTTGGATTAAGTGAAGTTTTAAAACTGTTAGCTTATTTACAACTAATCACAAGAGGACGATCCAACGTCAGATATTCTTGTGCACTTTTAGACCTCCTGATTGTCTTCGGACTCCGCCACCATGGTCAGACTTCTCAGCGATCTGTGAAATGGAAATGCAATGGCAAACAAGCAAACTTTAATCAGCAATTTAAAATAATTTAAAGCAATTTAGTGTTCGTAAAAGAGTGAGAGTTGCGCACAAGATTCGATGCTCTGATAGGGCTTATCGCAGACCAGACCCCAGTTTGACTTTAGTCTTGATTTGTCCCTCAATATAAGCGCACGTCAGCATGAAGTACTTGCGGCTCTTTGTCTTTCTGTTGTTAGTCGGGTTAGCCAGTGCCCAAAACTGTGAGTCACTCCTTTTGGGAGGGAAGTGAATGAGAGTTAATGTTTTGTCTGTTAAGTTTTAGGCGATTTGCCCACAATACCCAACGTGTGCCACCTGCAGGGCGACTGGTGCTCCACCAGGTGCCAGATAGCAGGCGGACGGGATGGCATTTGCAATCCGGGCGGACTCTGCACTTGCCGTCCCTTGTGATTGTGTGATTGTAGTGAAACGTCGAAATAAAAGATGCCAAGATCATGAAAATATTTACAATTGCGAATGCTGAATGCAGTGCTTGCTGGATGTTCGATTCTGGGTTTCCTAGGGATGGGATTGATGTGGATGCAAACTTGCCTGGAGCGTTCGAAGAGCGAGGGATCGGTGTAGATCGGCTCACTGGGATCCTCGAACTGGTGACTGCCCTGCCCCGCGGAACGCATGGGATTTATAACTGGCAGCTGGCACATGCGCGCCAAGTTGCTGTAAAGACATTAAACACTTCATAAGTGGACCGGTTTGGGGTGGCCGACAGACCGGCAGGCAGATAGTGATCCTCACCCCGTGGCAAAAGTCTTGTGTAATGAGCCGCCGAACATGGACATGTTGGTGCGAAAGGCGTTTGAGGCCCGATTCGATGCGCTCTGATTGGCTCCGCCCCCAGCTCCACCACCACCACCACCTCCAGTCATGTTGGGCATGTGTCCGATCTCTGTGAAGCGCTCGTGTGTGCGTATGGAAGAGTGGGAGTGGCCCAGCGAATGGATCGGGGAGTTGCGGTCAACCAGTCGGTTCTTCGAGATGGACTTCCAGTAACGTCTGAGGGAATATCATAATTGAGTCATCATAAATTTCAATGCTTTCTGATCTCACCTGTAGCCCAGGCCGGCAACCATCGTGATGCTGAAGAGAAGGATCATCAGCAGAATGATGGCCGTGATCAGGCCATGGTACTCTGCTGGTGTCATGCAAACCGTCTCCACGGGGGCCACAAGTTTGCGGGGATAGGACTCTTTTTCGATCTCCTCGCGCGTCTCAAACACCTACAAGGGATCAATCAATCAATCAGCCACTGGCATTCAGTCTCCTGCTCTCCTCCCCATGCTCACTTCAATCATTTCGCGCACTTGTTCCGGTTCCTCGTTCTCCTTGGATTTCTCTCCCGACTGCGTGTCATTTAGTTGGCCCTGCCCCAGGGTGGCGCTTACCGTGGTGCTGTTCACAACGATCACATCCTCCGAGCTGGCGGCATCCAGCGGCTTGATTCCTTCCAAAGCCAGAGCCTGAGCTCCGTCCTCAGTTACAGTTTCGAGTTCAGCCATGTCGGTGGCGTTCAGGGACCGTCTGCGGCGCCCAAACGAGGGCTCCTGTCGACCCGCCGGCCCTGGGCAGTATGCCGGCTGACAACCCTCCCGACAGGATCGGACTGTCGCTTCGAAGACCAAGAAGTTCGATTCGGGTATTTTAAAGGCATTGAAACGAGCCTCCAGGGTGTCGCCATCGCGCAGTTTGTCCAGCTCCGGAAAGACGAAGGGATCCACCGGGCAGCCAAAGCGGTCTATGAGCTGTATGCTGCGACCCGAGTACGGGTCCCTGGCCACCACATTCGTGGCAAAAATATCCGTCACATGATTGTAACCATCTTGGGCCTCCAGCCGGAATGTCAGAGGATCCCCCACAGCTATGGTGGTGGTCGGTCTGCCCTGGTACAGAATGCTGAGTCGAACCTTGGAGCTTAGCGTATTCTCGGCTGGCAGGTACTCTATGGGAATAGGACTGCCGGAACTGCACAGAGGGATCGTATCAATACAGGGGAAAACCAGGAAATTGTCAAGTTAGAAATGATATCTTACCCTGCTCCAATGTAGCCGGAGCTAACAACAGCTTCACCAGGCCCCCTGAAGATGCATGTGAGATTGTAGCGCTTGTCACGGCTAGTTTGAACGTTGTCCGAGAACTGGACCACCACGATGTTGGTTAGAGTGTCGCCGTACTAGAAGACAAGATCAGTGATCATTGATCTGTGTGCTGATCACTGAACAGTGTGTGACTCACGCGTTGAGTGCCGCAATCGGGATAGCCTTGGGGACCACTGATTCTCAGGACGTTGACGGTGCCCCCATTGCCACGGAAGAAGCAGCGATCGTAGAAGCCGTAGGTGTAGATCCGTCCCAAGAATCCCTCTGGCGTACGTATAGTAAACTCCATGCCCTCCTCGTTGCAAGTCTGCGTCACTGTGGGGTAATTTATTCATACATTTTGGGATGTTCATGCAATTAAATATTAATCTCGTACCATCCATGCATTCGCCATCGCTGCGTCCGATGCTGCGCTCATAGAAATCATAGTTGGAGGCGTCAAAGGTGCCCGGATCGTGAATGTCCAGCTCCCGCGAGTCTCTGTCGCTCAGCTCGCAATTGGAGGACTCCCTATCGCGATCGCGATCGCGATCCTCATAGCTGGAGGCGGCTGTGTCTCTGCAAATTGAATTCGCGTTCGGTTATTTGTAGCCGCTCTTGTATCATCTATCTGCCATGTATCTTTCGCTACACCCAAACACGTACCTGTAGTTGAAGCTGCGACACACAAAGTCGCGGCTCTCGATGCACTCCCGCTCGCACTGTATCAGGCTGGGCACGACCAGTGTGCGACGTACATAGTGGCGGCGCATCTTGTGCCTGGCGGCTATCTGCTTAAAGTTGTCGCTCTCCTCGCAACGGGTTATCGGTGGCCGTGGCGGTCCCGAGCCAATGCCCACGCCCACACCTACATGAGCAGCACCACCTCCATAAGCTGTTGGTGGGTGGGACAGACCGATGCCGGGCAACGGAATGGGACGATCATCTAGGCCTCCACCACCTCCATACGGACGATTAAAGGGCGTGTCATAGCGTCCGTAGGGGCCACCCACAGGAGGTCGACGTCCCGGTGGTCCATCATACTCCCGATCGTAGGGCCCATACCTGTCGCCATAGCGCTCCTCATAGTCGTAGTCGTAGATGGGAGGCGGCCGATCCAATCCTAAATGAAGAGTCTCTGTATCAGTGCTACTCTTTGCTGGGCTGTGCTGCTCTCCTCCTGGGTTAATGAGGTCTTTGGGCTGGTAGTTGGTTAGTCCCGTGTACTTACCCGGACGTCTGCCTAGATCGCTGGGTCCCAGCCGATTGCCGTACTTGTAGATGTCCATGGGATAGCGATCGTTACCTACCGGGAATCGGTTCGGAGTCGAGGCGTACTTGCTGGCACTGCCCGTGGGTGCAATGGGTGCTGGTGGATAGCGCTTTGCTGACTCCGGCTCAGGGCGCCTGGCACTGTGCACAATATCATCGTATCGGCCCGGTGGTCCTCGGGAGTCCGGCGCGTATGGATACCTTGCCGGGTCCATGGAAGAGGGCCGATATCGTCTGTCCGGGAATATGCTGTCTGGGGCATCGCGTCCAGTGTAGCCACCGATGGGATCTCGCTCCCTGTTTGGCGGTGGGTAGCGCGGGGGATAGCGACTGTCGTATCTGTTGTCTCCGTAGCGGCTACCGCCATAGCCGTAGGGCCTAAAGGGCGCATCGTCATCCGTGGGATAGGGCCTTGTGTGTGGCAGATCGCTGGGCAGAGTGTTGTCATTGATGCCCGGATACGGCAGCGGACGGAAGGGCAACCTATCCCGATCCCTCTCTCTCTCCCTGTCCGGATAGCGCCGGTCTCCATATCTATCCGCATAACGATCCGGAGGCGGAAACCGATCAGCTAACCGATCACGATCCCTTTCCCGATCGCCAGGATAACGCTCTCGGTCGCGGTCCCGATCGCCGGGATAGCGCTCTCGATCCCTATCGCGATCTCGATCGCGGTCACCACTGGCACCCACTGGCACAGCTGGGTACCGATCTGATGTGGAGTTACGTTAGGTTAGTAAATTAG